GGTCACAAAGATTTATTCCTATGTTTTATTCTAAGAGTTTTATAGTTTTAGCTCTTGCATTTATGTCTATGATCTGCTTAATGTATTATCGAATATTTCCATGTAATTCAACGTTTTTCTTTCTTAGAAAAGTCAAAGGTTGCGTGTTTTTTGAGACTTTTGATACATGTTCCAAAATTCTTGTGACTCTGTCTTCTCCCTGTCATTCTCCTTCCCCTCCCTACCTTCCTGTATATAGCTCTGGTTCAGGCCTTTGCCGTCTCTTGCATTGCATGTTACAGTAGCCTCCTACAAGTTCCTAATGAATGCTATCCATACAGCGTGTTGAGTGTAATGGCATGGTGGTGGTGGGTGGCAGTACAGAGAAGGGACACCTAACCCAGTCTGATGATTTGGGGTGGTGATGATAAGAAAGGGTTTGTAAGGGCCTTCCTCCTGGAAGTGAACAGTGAGCTGACTTTGTAGGTGGAGTGGGCATTAGCAAAGCATAAACATTGTGCATCAGCAGACTGGGCTAGGAAATAAAGAGCATGTGCACAGTCCTAAAGGTAGAGGCAGTATAGCATGGTGGTCAGAGAGTGGCTGCTGGGTCTGCCACTTCCAAGTGTTCTTGAAGGAAAGGGACTTAACTTCTCTGTGTTTTTGTTTTCTTGTCTGTAAAATAAGAAAACTATGAGGATAGGAATAGTAGCCAATGCCTAGGATGGTTGCAGGACAGAATGAGGCAGCATATGCTGAGGTCTGGCTGGGGTGGCCAGTTCCCGAGGAGGAGCAGGTGGATGGGGTCAGTGTTGGGTCTGTTGATGTATTGGAGGCAGCCGTGTGTACAGATTTGGAGCTGAGACAGTGCAGATTTGGTCAAGAGCAGGGGCTTGGGTTTTGTTGCCCAAGGGGCTAGCTAGGGCAGTGGATCCGATGTGGTCTTTAGAGTCAGATCACCTGGGTTTTGATTTCAGTTTTATTGCGTATTAGTTGTATAACTTTGAGCAAGTAATTTATTACCTCTGTGCCTCAGTTTTTCATCTGTAAAATGAGAATAGTAACAGTTTCTTACTCCTAGAGGTGTTGTGAAGATTAAATGAGTTGCTGTGTAAAGTGCTTAGAACAGTGCCTGACACACAATGCTGTATGTGTTTGCTGAGCCAGGTTTGTAAGGGTTTAGGAACAAAGTGTATCTGATTGCCTGTGCAGAGTCCCAGTAAATCTTGGAATAGAGTGGGAGACTGAACCAGGGCCCAAAGTTTTCGGTGCCTCAAGGGCAGCTGCCAGAGGCTAGGGTATGTCAGCAACAGGAGAGGGTGACATGGCTAGTGGAATGAGCAAGACAGGAGCAAGGGTTTGCATAAGAGAGTGTAGGAATCATGATCCAGATGTGGCAATAAATAACAATAGCCAGAGCAGTTACATTTATTGCTCTGGAAAGGGCAATGGGGAACAAGAGGAATGCCAGCTCTTTATCCTTAGATCCATCCTTCACTTCACAACCATGTGTTCATTCATTCAGCTCGTATCCACCGAGTGATGCATGGGCCGGCTACCGTGCTGGCCATTGGGGATGTGGCGATAAACATGACAGACCAGTTTCCTGCCTTCACGGAACCTGCTGGTTAAGGGAAAAGAAACAGACATTAAACACATGATTGTGTAAGTCATTAATCAATACAGACTGGATCGTGCCACTCTCCCATTTCAGCCTCTTCATTTGTTCTTCACTGCTATGGAATAAAATCCTGACTCCTGGGCTGGCTGCAGTGGCTCACATCTGTAACCCCTGCACTTTGGTTGGCTGAGGCAGGAGGATTGTTTGATGCCAGGAGTTTGAGACTAGTTGAGGCAATATAGCAAGTCCCTGTCTTTACAGAAAAAAAAAAAATTAGCCAGGTGTGGTGGTGCGTGCCTGTAGTCCCAGCTACTGGGGGCTGAGGTGGGAGGATGGCTTGAGCCCCAGAGTTCGAGGCTTCAGTGAGCTATGATCACACCATTGCACACCAGCTTGGGTGACAGAGTGAGACCTGTTTCTAAAATATAAATAAATAAATAAAAACCTGAGCATGGCATGCGGGCCCTGCAGGATCAGGCCTCAGTCCTGCTCTTGGCAGCTCTTCTGACCACTGCTCCTCCTTCACTTGGGATTCTAGCCCTCCAGGACTGGTTGCTGTGCCCCAGGCTGACTGTGACATTTCCACAACCCCCTGCCCCTGCCCTCTGTCTACCTGGCATGTTCCCAGAGCACCTTGGATTTTCCAGAATTATAATACCCCATGTGTCAAATCAGGAGGGGCAGCATGGCTCCAGCGGGGAGAAGGTCATGGGCATGGAGGGTAGGGCACCGGGAGGAGAATGTGTAAGGGGTGTGGGGGATGCCCATGGGTAGAAAGAGTACCTTGTAGCTTAGGGGGCAGCCTTGACTATTTGGCTGGAGAGCAGAGGGACCAGTTCCCTCCCTTTAAGAATGTCATGGAAAGCTTCTTTCCATGGCTCTGGGCTCTGGGAGTAGGCAGTGTGTCCAGGGTGCCAGTGTTCTGAGGGTTTCTTCAGAGAAACTGAGGTAGACGTACATCGGATGAAGAGCCATTCTTGCCTGAGTAGGAGAAGCCAGGAGTGCCAGCAAAAGGAGTTATAAATCCCAGCCATGGGGGAGACACAGTTTGGAGGCCAGGTAGGATATGTTTGAACCTTCTGCAATTGGGAATGTACCATCTCTGCTGGTGGGGAATGACCTTGACATTCGGTGGCCACCAGGGGATGGGACCTTCTTTGGTTGCCTTCTTTGTATTTGAGATAAGTCCCGAAGCCCTTTGCGGGAGTCTCGGTGGTGGCACATGGAGGGAAACCCTATAGGCAGGGGTAGAGGAGCTTCTGCTCAGCGAATTGTGGGTCTCAGGAATCCAGCTGCTTGACCTTGGAGATGGGAAGGCAGGTTCTATCTGTGAGGCCGCCTCAGCCTGAGCCTTGCACAAGGTTGGGCTGAGGCCCAGACGTGGCCCCTCCACCAGGAAGGCCAGTGCAGGTAAAGGGCTGCCCTGCTGGGAGACGGGGACAGTAGGCTGAGAAAAGTGATGAGAGTATTTGGAGCAGGAGTTAGAGCTGTGGGGCTCCCCCTCATCAGAGGCCAAGGCCAGTATCAGCAGAGGGCTGGCAGGGGTGTCAGCAAGGGACTGAGGCACTGGCAGCTTCTGCTCCAGGCTGAGTTGCAACCCGGCCTGGGATCCCCGTGGGTGTGGGCAGTTAATCTCCGAAGGCCAGAGTCACCACTGCTAGAGAGCAGGAACATTGAACTTTTCAATCACATTAATTTCCACAGGAAATTGTTGTCTTCCTTTTGTCCAAAGGTTAGTGATTTATATTTACCATCCTTTTAACTAGCCTTGAAATTTACTGTTGCCAGGTCACCACCGGCATCCATAAATTTCAGGGTGGCAGCTGAGCATAGCCAAGTGGGTTGGTCCTTGGAAGGGTATGTACCGGCCCTTTGGGGAGGGCAGATGACTAGCTAGAGACAGTCCTTGTACAGAAGTCGCACTGAGGGTGTGCGCGTTCACTTTGCAGGGGAAATGAGGTGAGGTTTGCTTGATAAGGTTGCGGGGAGGCCTCTTAAGCCGCAGCCATGGTGGTGGCAGCTGGCTTGTGCCTCCCTGGACGTCACAAAGGAGACCTGCTTCCAGCTGTGGATGGGGCGGCAGCACAGAAGGTGCTCGAGTGCTTAGGGTGGGGAGCAGGGGCCAGATTCCTAGCTCTGCTTCCTAACTTTGTGATTTTAGGCAAGTAACTTAACCTCACTCTGCCTCAGTTTCCTCATCTGTAATAACAGTACCTAGTACCTGCCTTATAGTATTTTTCTGAGGGTTATTGATTGAGGTTTAACCCTCAGAAAAATACTATAAGGCAATCAATCAATAGAGGCTGTTACTATTCTCTGGCAGGACAGGGTGGGTGGTTTGGTATGGGCCAGAGTCAGACTGCCTCACGTCCCTGCTTGTTCTGTCTTATTATCCATTTCTCTATTTAAGACCCTCTTCTTCCTTCCATCTGCTCCTGGAATTAGAACAGGGGCTGGCAAACTTTTTCTGTAATGGGCCAGTAAATATTTTAGGCTTTGTGAACCACATGATCTTGTAACTACTCTCCTTTGCTTCAGTGTGAAAGTAGCCATTGACACTAAGTAAATGGATGAGTGCGGCTGTGTTCCAATAAAACTTTATTTGTGGACACTGAAATTTTAAATTTCATGTAATTTTCATGTGTCACAAAATATTCTTATTCTTTTGATTTTTTTAACCATTTAAAAAGGTAAAAACCATTTTAGCTTGCAGGCCATACAAAAATAGACAGTGGGCCTGATTTGGCCCTGGGGTCGTAGTTTGCCATTAGAAGGTGTAATGGTGGCCGTTGCGGTGGCTCACGCCTGTAATCCTAGCACTCTGGGAGGCCGAGGCGGGCGGATTGCTCGAGGTCAGGAGTTCGAAGCCAGTCTGAGCATGAGCGTCTCTACTATAAATAGAAAGAAATTAATTGGCCAACTAAAATATATATAGAAAAAATGAGCCGGGCATGGTGGCGCATGCCTGTAGTCCCAGCTACTCAGGAAGCAGAGGCAGAAGAATTGCTTGAGCCCAGGAGTTTGAGGTTGCTGTGAGCTAGGCTGATGCCACGGCACTCACTCAAGCCTGGGCAACAAAGTGAGACTTTGTCTCAAAACAAACAAACAAACAAACAAACAAACAAACAAACAAGAAGGTGTAATGGCATGAAAAAGGCAAGTTTCCTTGCCTGGGCTGTCTTTGAGTCACTAAATAAAGGTGTGCTCGTGTGGGTTTGTCCAGTGACCCAGCTGGGGCAGAAGGATGGGAAGGAGCTCCGTGGGAGCCGGGGGCACAGGGTTGGCAGGATGCCTGGGCCTGGCACTCATTGCTTCCCTGTCTGCAGCCACAGCGGTGCTGATGCTGGATTGGCTAGTCACGCCCATCCGCAACCCCAACTCTGCTGTGTCTTTGTTTCAGAGAACAGCCTCAGCCAAGGTGGGAAGGAGGCGGGGACTCGACAGCCTGTGGTGATTCTCTTGGGATGGGGTGGCTGCAGGGACAAGTACCTTGCCAAGTACAGCGCCATCTACCACAAAAGGGTGAGTACTACAGGCACGTGGGCACCGGCCCCACTGGGGCCCTGCCATCTACAGCTGCTCTGTGGGGAACTCTGAACCTCTGGCTGTCCTCACCTCTGGGCTGCTCTGGGTGGTCAGTGAAGGCTGACCACCTATGTGGCAGGCCAAAGGATGGCATTAAGAACAACCTGTGAGGATGATAATGGTGTCATGGGCTCCATGAGGTCCTGGTCTGGCCCCTTCAGTTTCCTGACCTGCTTCCCCTTTCTTGCTCCCTGAACCCCAGAGTGGGCAGCCCAGCCTTGATATGCCCCCTAGTTATGCCATCAGCCCAGGCCTCAAGTCCCTGCTGGCTGGATGACCCTTCTCTGGGTGGCTGGTTCCTGGGCTGGGTGTGCTGGGCATAGTTTGTACTCCCAGGACTGACTCCTTTTCTGAGCAGGTGAGCTTCTGCCTCAGGACGGACCATGGCACATTTCACATTCCCAGAGCAGTAAGGCCTCTTGGAAAAGAGATTTCTGCTGCTTCTTAAGTGGCACCAAGAGTTGGATGTAGAGGTTGTGATAATGGAGAGAACCTTAGAAGGGCCTGGTTATATTTTGGAATCCCCTTTCACATTGTTGGCCTCTGGCTTGGCCCTTCCTTCCTCAGCCCAAATCTCCCTAAGCCAGCCTTCTGCAGGGGTACCAGTATAGACAGCCCCAGCCACCAGCGGGAAGCCCTGGACTGAGCAGTGGGAGTCACCTGGGAGAGGGGCCAGCTGATGTCCCCATTCCCTCAGGCTCCTTCCACTGACCCACATCTGCACTCTGCCCAAGGTGTGTGCTGGATCACACCTGGAATGGAAGACCATTTGAGAAAAAATGTAGTTCTGAGCTGAAAGCCTCCCCCAACCAATAAGGCTAGTCCTCTGGCATTGCCTTTCACAGATTGCCTTGCTCTGCAAGTATAGTTTCAGCTACTTCTAAATTCTACTCACTGGGCTAGCCTTGTCTGTCTGGCTTCTCCTCTAGACTAAGATCCTTGAGGACAGACAGAGGAATAGTTGAGGGTTCAAGAACAGAGAATGAAAGAAAGGGCAAGTGTCAAGAGGTGAGGCTTGGGGAGGTCCTCAGGGTGAGGAGGGGGTGTGTGTCTTTTTAGACAGGAGCACTAGAAGAGAATCCGTAGGCTCTGGGGTGATGAGATCTTCCTGGGTGCGTGTAGAGGAAAAGAAGGGGGCCTAGGACAGAGCCTCGAGAAACTCAAAAGGTGAAAGATGAAGAGGGTCCTTTGAGAAAAGACGGAGTGGCCAAAGGTGAACAAGAAACCCCTGGAGAGCATGGCTGAATCCATAGGAAGAGTCTTTGGGATATGGGTTGTTGTATAGGGAGGGAGGAAAGAGGTCAGTGGTTGGTGGCAGGTTACTTCAGCTGACCATCCCTGTTTGGTTATGGGTCGTTCAAATACTGTGCCCATATAATTTTCCTTGTTGCTGCCACCACTAATTACTGCTGCTATTGGTTGAGAGTTTACTTTGTGCCAGGTATTGTTTTGGTCACTTGAGATAACATTTTGCTTTTCATTTAATTTTCACCATAACCTTATGAGATGGGTGTCATCCCAATTTAGAGATGGGGATACAGACCCAGAAAGATGTAAAGTGCTCTTTTGCCATTCTGTTAATAGGGGATGGTGCCAGGAATTGAACCCAGACCTATCTGACCCCAGAGCCTGCCCAACTCGGATTCCCCCGAAAAAGGGTCCTTAGTCTCTGCAACAGGTAGATGAAAGGGGATTAGGACCCAGGGAGGGTTGCTTTTCTTTTCTTTTCTTTTCTTTTCTTTTCTTTTCTTTTCTTTTCTTTTCTTTTCTTTTCTTTTCTTTTCTTTTCTTTTCTTTCAGAGTCTCACTTTGTTGCCTAGGCTAGAGTGAGTGCCGTGGTGTCAGCGTAGCTCACAGCAACCTCAAACTCCTGGACTTGAGCAATCCTCCTACCTCAGCCTCCCGAGTAGCTGGGACTACAGGCATGCGCCACCATGCCCAGCTATTTTTGCATATATTTAGTTGGCCAATTAATTTCTTTCTATTTATGGTAGAGACGGGGGTCTCACTCTTGCTCAGGCTGGTTTCGAACTCCTGACCTTGAGCAATCCGCCCGCCTCGGCCTCCAGAGAGCTAGGATTACAGGCGTGAGCCACCGCACCCGGCTGGGAGGGTGGCTTTTCCAACTGGCCTACATGGGGACCTGTTTGGAGATTTGGGGGCACACTTGGCCCAGGCAGTGAGGGGTACAGAAGCCTAGAGGGAGTTTGGGCCCAGATTTTAGAATTTGAGGAACAACAGCATTTACTATATTTGGAATTTCAGGGCGACCATGAGGAGTGATCCCAGACCTGGGACCCACACAGATTCAGGTGTCAGGCTCCTGATTCAGAAGAGTATGGACTCTGTTCTCAGGGCCCTGGGGAGGGAGGTGACAGTGACCAGAGATGGATGTGATGTGGGCCAGGCTCAGAAGTGGCCTCTGGTGGTCAAGGCTGGGTCCTGCAGGCTCTCTCTCAGGTATTGGTCTCATGGGGATACTTGGCTCTGGGAGGTAGGGACAGTGTAGAGCGGAGTCGCCAGGGCAGGCTACAGCCAAGTGGTGATGCTTGAAATGTGCAAGGTCTGGAGGATGGTGAGGAGTGGGGGACAGACAGGGAGGGAACAAAGTGGTCAGCCCAGATGTCTCCAAAGCATGCTCCTGGCTCCAGGTTTCAAATAGCATCCCAGGCTGAGAGAGCTTGGCCAGCATGAAGCAGTTAGTCCAAGGAACCTGTGTTTGTGAGTAGTGAGCCAGCATCCAGGCCAAAGCAAGGCCTAGCGCATTGCTGGACTCTATGGGCCTTGTGAAGGTTGGGGTTGCTGGGCCCCTCCGACCTTAGCTCATACTGCATCCTATCCGTGAGAACCGACTAGGCCTCTCTCCTCTCTCCCAGGGCTGCATCGTGATCCGATACACAGCCCCGTGGCACATGGTCTTCTTCTCCGAGTCCCTGGGCATCCCTTCACTTCGTGTTTTGGCCCAAAAGCTGCTGGAGCTACTTTTTGATTATGAGATTGAGAAGGAGCCCCTGCTCTTCCACGTCTTCAGCAACGCTGGCGTCATGCTGTATCGCTATGTGCTGGAGCTCCTACAGACCCATCAGCGCTTCTGCCACCTGCGTGTGGTGGGCACCATTTTTGACAGTGGTCCTGGCGACAGCAACCTGGTAGGGGCTCTGCGGGCCCTGGCAGCCGTCCTGGAGCACCGGCCTGCCATACTGCGCCTGTCGCTCCTGGTGGCCTTCGCCCTAGTGGCAGTCCTGTTCCACGTCCTGCTTGCTCCACTCACAGCCCTCTTCCACACCCACTTCTATGACAGGCTACAGGATGCAGGTTCTCGCTGGCCTGAGCTCTACCTCTACTCAAGGGCAGACGAGGTAGTCTTGGCCAGAGACGTGGAACGCATGGTGGAGGCACGCCTGGCACACCAGGTCCTAGTGCGCTCTGTGGACTTTGTGTCATCTGCACATGTCAGCCACCTTCGCGACTACCCTACGTACTACACAAGCCTCTGTGTTAACTTCATGCGCAGCTGTGTCCGCTGCTGAGTCCACCTCACCTCTGCTCCCAAAATAAATGTCTGATACCTCCCCACAACCTACATCTGTGGGGCCCTCTTCCGGTTCAGCTCCCTGTGGCCCTTTGGGACTTTGTGTTCCTGTAAGTAAAAAGTTCCTGCGGGCCTCTGTCCTGGGGAACTGGTGGTCTGCTTACCCCAGGATCCTAAGGGGCAGGAGTGCCTGGGCATATGTCTGTGGGACCTTGCAGTTGGGTGTGTTTGGACAGCTGCAACCATCAGGCTGCTGATTCTTATGGCATTTAGGCTGTAGAGATTAACAAAGCAGGAAGGGGGAGGTTGAGGATGAGCCCGAGTTGATTTTTTAAAAATTATGATAAGGAGCCGGGCGTGGTGGCTCACGCCTGTAATCCTAGCACTCTGGGAGGCTGAGGCGGGCGGATTGCTCAAGGTCAGGAGTTCGAAACCAGCCTGAGCAAGAGTGAGACCCCGTCTCTACTATAAATAGAAAGAAATTAATTGGCCAACTAATATATAGAAAAAACTTAGCCGGGCATGGTGGTGCATTCCTGTAGTCCCAGCTAACTGGGAGGCTGAGGCAGTAGGATTGCTTGAGCCCAGGAGTTTGAGGTTGCTGTGAGCTAGGCTGACACCATGGCACTCACTCTAGCCTGGACAACAAAGCGAGACTCTATGTCTCAAAAAAAAAAAAAAAATTATGATAAGAACACAACATGAGATCTACTCTTCTTAACAAAATTTTAAGTGGACAATATACTGAAAGTTAATAAACCCATTATTAATTACAGGCACAGTGTTGCACAGTAGATCTCTAGAATTCAGTCATTTTGCATCTTCCATAATCTAGAACTTAATCATCTTACATAACCAAAACTTTATGCCCTTTGCCAGAGTTGAGTTTTGATTCCTTGAATGAAAGGTGAGCTCTGTGGGGAGGTGCTCTAGGGTAACTCTGGGTTGGGGATCAGGTCAGGCTGGGGATACGGGTGGTGATCTCAGCAAAGCCCCACAGTGGACATTCCCATGGTCTGACCGCGCTGCCTGGGAGGGGAGCTGAGGATGCAGGTTCAGGGGCCTGCCCGGCTCCACACTTTGCTAGGAAGCCACTGGATCCAGGAGAGTTGCCAGCTGAAAGCTGCAAGACGGAGTGGGGAGCAGGAAGGCAGCAGCCCTTTAATGGGAGCTAACTGGAACTCAAATGGGAGCTAACAGGCTAACTGGAGCCCTAAAGACCAAAACAGGGTAAGGGGATTTTTGGCCAAAAAAACAAACTCCTTTGTCTCCTTAAACAGAGACCCTCTTGGATACTCTCTAGGCAGGACAGGTGTTTTCAGCCTTACAGTTCCGTACCATCTGTCATTCTGTAAGTCACTGCTGCACAATGTTGGCACATAGTAGATAATCAATAAATATTTGTTGATTGAATGAGCATACTGTGGTGATCAAGGGACTTAGGGGGGCAGGGCGAGCTTTGAAAAGTTTGACAGGCAGTCAAGAAGGCAGCTAGAAAAGCTCTGTGTGGAAGCTGACCCTGATATTCTCAGGGACTCTGCATCCCATCAGCCCTCTGGGAGTCCCCACTACTGGGGCAGTGATTCCTGTGCCGGGTGGCTGCATTCCTAGCCACGGCCAACAGGTGGCAGTGTCGCCTGTGCCATGAGAGCCCAAGACTCCCAGAGCAGGGCAGGCTTCAGCTCTGGGTTAATGTCCCTATTAGACAGCATATGGCCCCCAGGGTGGGGAGAACCAGCCATCAGGGACCTACTGAGTCCAGGGTAGGGGGAGGAGAGGCATAAAAGAAGTCGGCCTGATGGGAACTAGGCATTTAAGAACGTCCTTTTCATCTCCATTGCCCTAACCTCCTACCTACTCTTCCAAACCCACTTCCCCAAACCCTTAGCCTTCCCTGGCGCTGCTCCACTTCACCTCAACAGAGGCCAGAATCCCTGTGTTCCAGATTTTTGGTCTCATCAAGCTGGGTATGGGGCTGTGAAGGACCTTTGATGGGCTCCAACCTAGGATGATTTTGTCTCCTGTGCTTCAGCTGGGTACAAGGTGGGTGGAGCTGCTACCTGGACCCAGTTCTGTAGTCACCGAGGGCATCCCAGAGAAAGGGGTGCCTAAAGCTGGGGATGTGGGGAGATGTGAGACGTAAAGGGAAATCTGGAGTCACGGAGACGTTCTGAGGCCTAGATCCTGTTTTTCCTGACAGCTGTTGTGGGGGAGACTAACCTGCAGCTGTGAGCACCTGCCTGGGAGGCACCCAGGATGCTGCCCTGCTTCACTGGCAGTGGGAAGCTGTGGCATGACCACTAGGCAAAGTACTTTTTCTCCAGTGCTAGTAGACCAGCTTCAGTTCCCCAACTTGAGGGTCTCCCTTGGAGAATAAGGGTTTCTATTCTTTCCATTTGAGGATGTAGGCAGTAGCTACACTGGGCTGTTGGTCACTAGGAAGAGAATAGAACAAAAGCCCAGGAGTGATCCCAGGTATGTTTCAGGGACTAGAAAAGGATAGAAGCCTGGGGCTTGTGTTTTCACCCAAGCTTAGCTGCTTCTGCCCTAGGTTGGGGGATACAGCTTGCATCCCCTCTGTACCCCCAAGCTCTGACCTCTTCTGTGATTAATGAGCTGACGATTCTGCATCGATAAGGAATTAACCTAGAGCCCCTACCCATCAATAGTCAGGAGCCCAGGTCTCCAGCCCCACCCCAGCCCAATGCTCCAGGGCCCCTGAGCAGACCAACCCTGCCCGCCTTCACACACCTATAGCTAAGCCCTTTCCCCCATATTGTTGCCAGGAATTAACTCCTTAACTCCCTCAGCCCACCTTCCCCCCATTGCTATCAGCTCCCCCCTCACATATTTACACACAGACAGCAGCTGTTTATATTGGTTTAATCCATGTCAAATGTAGTTTACAAAGGGAAAGGACAAGTACCTTTGTATAGAATATACAGACACAGTATCACACCATGGGGCCCACATGAGGGGCGAGGGAGACAACACTTTTTCCCTGGGAGCAGCAGCTCCAATCCCAGGAAAGGTTCTCAGCGGAAGCTGGGGAGCCAGGAGCACCCTCATCCGGCCCCAACCTCAGCCTCTGCTTGGGCTCAGTCCCACTTCCTGCCCCCACCCAAACTCCTTATGAAGAGCCCCATGAGCTAAGACTAAGGAGAGGATCATGTCCCTCGGGGCATGTGCCCCATGTCTGGGAGAAGAAATATACACCACTGAACACCGAGCACATGGGAAAGGGAAGGGACACCACGGGAGAGGAAGAGGCAGGCACCCCACGAGGTGGATGGGCCGAGCCCCCAGCCAGCCCTGAAGGGGGCACTGCTTCCAGGGGTTTTTAAAAAAAGGAAGAAAATCATACAGCCATGGGGAGGAGGGTGGGGAGTTGTCCCATTTATACACAACATTGTAAACATACACGGTCTATATTACATGTGCTTCAGTCTGGTGTTTGCATGTCTGTCTGTCCGTCAGTCTGGGGGCTGGATCTCAGGAGCCTAGCCCTGCTACTCCCCCCACCCTCACCTCCCTGCCCCACCCTGGAACAGGTATGGCCCCCAAACTTGGTGGGAGCCAGCAGGTAGTGCCTGGGCCTCAGCCTCTACTCTGGCTCCAGAGTCCTGTGTGTGTATATGTGTGTGTGCACACACGCATGTATGTGCATGTATGTACATTGGGGAACTTGTGTGCAAGTATGTACAAGGGGAGAGGGTCACTGTCACAGAGGCTGGGGGCAGGTGGGGCTGCTTGAGGCAAGGCCTGCCTGGGGTAGCTAGCTCACAAGTAGATCCTCCGCAGGTCTCCAGGTGCTGTGATCGTATTGCACTGAGGGCAGAGCTTCTTGGCACCCTGCAGGGAGAACAGGGAGGGCTTTGGTTACACACAGTGTGTGGCATGTTTGTGCATGTGAACACCTGGGCCTGCAGCCACATCTCCCTGCCCCAGTGTGTGCTGGGACCTTGGTCCTATCAGCCCAGACGGGATGCATGGGCGGCCTCTGTGAGCAGGCAGGCGCGCTCTTGTGTTGGGGGGACGCCAGGATCAAACCGCCCGGCCAGCCCCGCAGCGGGAGCCCCGGTAATGAGAACAAGGCTGGGTCCAGCTGTGGCTGCCGCGGCCCTAACGAGATTACACGCGGCCTTTGATCAGGACACAGAGCCCACGTCCGAGCCTTTTATTGCTGTCTCCGGGCGACATTTTAATGGCTGCTCCTGAGCGAAGAACAGGGGCAGGAGCAGAAGGAGCTTAGTAATGGGAGGGGGAGGGGCGGGGCCCTGGTCCTGCTTACCCACAGCCAGCCTCCTCCTGACCTGGGGTCTCACCAGTATGTGTGGTGCAGTGGGGCTTGTGGGGGCAGACGCAGGGGAGGGGGAGGATTTAATAAACCTGCAGTGGGGGAGGAGAGCCTGTGGTGAGCTTGGGGTAGATATCCTGGCTCTGTTCTCTACTCCGTTCTCCCTTGCTCCCCGAGTCCCCCAAGCAGGCTCAAACATAATCATGGACAGCCACCCACTCCCGACCCCCATGCCACCTCACCAGGGTCCGCAGCCAGCACTCTTCGCAGTGCACGTGCCAACACTGGATGGACGTTAGGGGCATCGAGTACGAGTCCTAGGGAGGAGGTGGGCAGAGAGGGGTCACTCTGAGGCAGGCCCACCCCTCGCAGTGCAGAGACCTCTCCAAACCCCAGAGAACACGAAAGCCTAAGTGCACCCCTGGGTTCCTTCCTACTCACCATGCAGATGAGGCATTTGTAACGGTCCCCACGTGATAGCTGCCGTTCAAGTTCCCTGACCCGAGCCTTCAGGGCCTCAAACGTGGTCACAGCTGAATCTTCAGTGATTCTGTGAAGAGGACAGCACAGTTGAGCAGCAGGCTGGCATTCCCAATCTGAACCTCCAGCCCACACCTCCCTTGAGTTCTAGAACCACACACGTTAAGGTCCCCTCGACATCCCTGCCTGCCCCTTTCCCCAGTAGCCCATCATCTGCAACTCAGCATTCCAGAGCTAAACTCCTCACCCTCCGTTCCTCAGCTCCATCCCGATG